TGGGCAGGGGAGCTCAAATGGCTGGCTAATGTATGGGTTTGTAATGGAATGGGGAGTACTGGACAGGACTGAGCAAGCCTTAGCACATTAGAGAAACTGGAAACCAGGATGGAGCACAGGTCATGCCGAGCCAGGCTCTTACACTTACTGGTCTGCGTAAGTCAGGGACGCTAAGCCACAGTGTCCAAGGCAGAGGCCGGTACAAGTGAGGGGCTGAGTCAGAGCAACCGCTGGCATGCACGTGATCCATGGTTGGGAACAGGCCCGGTGGGGGAGCTAAGGGGACACACTAACTGGAGTAAGGCTACCGCCAATGAGCACGTGGGCTGGAATGGAGGCTGCATTCTGATCAGGTAACAGTTGAAATCTCCCTTGGCACAAGTGTGGACTGGGACTGGACACACCAGGCTGGGCCAGACCCCAACACTGTCTGGTGTTCCTGGAGGACCAGGATAGACGTGGGATGGACTAGGCAAGGTCTCAACCCCTACTGAACCATTTGTGAGCCATATGTGGGTATGGACGAGCCGTGGCTGGGCTGAAACATCCAACAACAAGAACCAGCTTGGGTCGAAGGCTAGTCAGGAAAAGCCACTGTTCGTGCTAGGACAGGAGGTGAACTGAGTAGGGCTGGCTCATGGACCCCCTGGTATGTGCGAAATCTGGCATAGGGAGAGGTTCTGATGGAGGAGCTTGGGCAACTCCTCTGGCAGGACACAGACCCCGCGGGTAAGCGCAAGAAGCATGAATGGAAACAGCCCAGAGCAAGCCACAAGAAGTTTCCCACTGGCATACATTAGGAATGGATCAGGCGCAGAGCAGGCTGAATCAGTTAACATCATCACTGGCAAATCCGAGCACCAGAACAGAGTAAGGGTCGAGCCAGGTTTGGTTGCAATAAAAACCAGTCCACACTACAGAATGCCAGGATGAGGTTGTCTGTACCGGATGTGACTGCAGCACCCAACCAGCACACTTGAGAACCAGTAAGGGAGGGGACAGAGCCAGCAGGGGAATAAGGGGTGGTTCCCTTGCTGGACAGCTACTCCCACTGGAGAGCATGAACTGGGATGGGGACAGACCAGACTAAGCAGGGCTACAATACCTGTACGCCTCATGTGGACTAGATCAGGGAAAAGCCAGGCTGGGCTGATTATTCCTATGGGTACAACCTACAATTAGAGTGGGCGAGGGTTGTTTGGGCATAGCCACAGCATCAGCTGGCAGAAACTGGCACTGGGGGCTAATTCTGTCAAGTTAAACTGCAGAACCACCTGGAAAGTGCACAATCCTGGAGTGAGAGACCTGGGAGGGAAATAGTGGGTTCCCCCCTCTTGGGTTACCGCTTCTAGGCAGGGCAAAAAAACTAGGACAGGGGCTGGGGTGGCTAGACAGAGAGGCACTCAACCACACCCGTGAGGGCTTAATTGTTGAGCTGGTTAGATGGATCTAAGCTTCAATGCCATTTGCCATGTACGAGAGCCAAGGGGGATGTGCGACAGACTGAACTAGTCTGCTACACATACTGGCAAACCAGGGTAGGGGGCGGGCCTGGTGGGGGTTGTTGTGGGTCGCTCTCACTAGGCTGTAGCTCCCACTGGTTTAGGTGAAGACCGAGTATGTGCTGTGCAGAACCAGTCTGGACTGCAACACCCATTGATTCCAATGGAAGGCAGGGCTGAAAACAGAACCAACCCAGCAATTGCAACTACCAACTGACCGGGGTGGGGACTGTGCTGGGCCCTGTACTTGCTGGTGCATACAAGAATCTGGCCTGGGAACTCCTCAGACGAAGTTTCTTTGGCGATCTCCCCAACTGAAATGCCGGACTCAGAACCCTAACCATAAAAGGACAGAAGATGGAACAAGTTAATCAACCACCTCAGCTATAGGTTGGCAACGAAATACCGGGCAAATAGAGATGCTATGATGGACAATGTCAATCAGTGGATTTTTTGACGACCTCATCATGTTTGGAGGGGCAAGATTGGCAGCAATTTCATAACTGGGGAACTATTGAAACCACTTGAGTAAGTATCTCAGAGCATGCCCCACATGCGGGACTTGGGGTGGGTGGGGAACTGGGTGGGGCTTCTACCTCAATATCCCCCCTTTACCTCAGATACAAGAAGAAAACAATGTGGAAATAATAGTCTTACCCACTTTCCCGTAGCCCTTGACCCTTTTTACCCAAATTAACTATGTAAAGATTGTCAAAATAAAAAAAGAATTTGAAAAAAAAAAGATTGCCATGCTATAGAAACCAGACAAAACAGTACAAAATATCTACAAGTGTTACTCATGAACACAGATGTATAAATCCTCAACAAATTATTAACCAAATTCAATGATGTATAAAAATAATTATACACTGTGGTCAATTAAGATTTATCCTAGGTATAAAAGGCAAAATAAACATTCAAATACTAGCAAATGCAATCCTCATGTCAACAAGCTGAAGAGCAAAGAGCATAAAATTTTATTCATTGATACAGAAAGCCAACGGACAAAATCCAATAACAACTCAAGATGAAATTTCTTAGTAAACAAGAAATAAAAAGAGGAGATGCTTTTAATTTGGTAAAGAACATCTACCAAACACACACTCACACACACACACACACACACACACACACACACACACACACAAATTACAACTAGGTTTTATACTTAATGGCGAAAGCCTAAATTTCCCCTTCTTTAGATAAAAACAATGCAATACCTCCTACTGCTGGAAGTTACAGCCCATTCAATAAGGGAAAGAAAAGAAAATGGAAGACTTACAGATCACAAAGGGAAAATAACCTACAAAACACCCCTAAAGCCAATAAATGAGTTTAAATTATAAATGCCAAGTCGATACACAAAAATAATTTTTCTAGGAACAATGTATAATACACAAGTAATGACATCTGGAAATTAAAACAAAAAATCATTTACAAAAGTTTGAATATCTATCATATGACCCAGCTATCCAACTTCTGAGAATATAGACAAAGGAAATGAACTCTGCATATGAGAAAGTGACCTGTAATCCTGTATTGACAGCAGCACATTCTATAACAGTGAAGACATGGAAATAACCCAGATGAACATGAAAAGAAGAGTGGATAAAAAACTGTGGTGCATCTATTCCTGGAATACTACATAGCACATCTATAACTGAATACAAGCCTATGCCGACAGTGTTATGACCCATGTAAAGAGCAGAAGTTGGGGTCAAGACTATACCTGACTGACCATTTTACTACAAAAAAAAAAAAAAAAAAAAAACAGGAGACAATGGTGGCAATGGTGGGGAAATATTATAAATGTTCCTTTTAATACTGTTTTTGCTACATCTCATACATTCTGTTTTTCTTTAAATTATTTTCATTTCTTCAAAAAAGTTTTTTTTCTAATTAATTTCTTCAGAAAAATAGGTCATATAGTAGCATCATTTTTTTCAGTAAGTTTTTGATTTTCATTTCTTCAATGACACATTGGTCATTCAGTAGCATGTTATTTAACTTCATGTTATTGTAAATTTTCTATTTTTCTTCCTGCTGTTGATTATGTTTTGTGGCTTTTCATGTAAGGGGATGTACATAACTGTGTAATAGAAACTATCATAACTAGATGAGAAGATGCAATGCAGTATGCATCTCTACTTCCAAATCAAAGATGGACTCACAATGAAACTGTTAAATATGTCTTAACAATAGCATCTCGGACTTTTCGCTATTATCCATAGTTACAATGTTAGGATACACTTAAATAGCAGAATGATGAGCTTCTGACTGTTTATGAAGGACTACACTATTGTAATAATATAGGGGAAATCAGTGTGGCAGAAGTGATTTCAGCAAGGTAAAGGGGAAATCCCAGAGCCTTTGTACCTATTCTAAAATAATAAAATAATTTTTTAAAAAAGAAACTGTGGTACATGTACTCCATGGAATACTACAAAGCCACTAAAAAGAATGAAATTCTACCATGTGTAATCAAATGATCCCTACTAGAGACCATTTAAACATCACTCAGTAAAATTAAAACATAAAGGACAAATATCATATTCTCTCTGATATAAGGCAACTTCCATGCAAAATGAAAGATCAATAGTTGAATAGGTAAGTATGTAATACATGTATTCATCTAGAGGAACTAGAGGAACTGTATAGTAGTGGTTAACATAACAAAAACTGAAGATACAATGCAGTATGCATCTCTACTCACTAATAAATGGAAGACTCCCAATGAAACTGTTAAATATATCTTGATGATAGGATTCTCGACTTTCTGTCATTGTCTGTACCAAGGTCATGATACACTTGAATGGCAGAATGATGATTTTGTGACTATTGCTGAAGGAACATAGTACTATAATAATATAGGGGGAAAACAGTGGGGGAAGCTGACATGGGGAGGGTAGAAAAGAACCTCTGGAACTGTATCATGAAAAATAAAAGTTTTAAAAAGAGAGAGAGAGAAGGAAATCTTATAATTTGCAAAAATATGAATGAACCTAAGAGACACTATGTTAGGTGAAATAAGCCAAGCCCAGAAAGACAAATACCATACAGCTTCAATTATAATTGCAATCTATAAAGGTTGAACTCAATGGAATCGAACTCAGATTGAGTAAAGTGGCTACTACAGGCAGAATAAGCTTGAGGAGACAATGATGAAAGGATACAAAATTCCTGTTGGACAGCAGCATATGTTTAAGAGGTCTGCTGTACAACACGGTAACCACAGTTAGTAATAATATATTATATCCTTGAAAAATCTAAGAAATTTTAATTGCTACCACCATAAAATTAGTATGTGAGGTAATACATGTCAGTTAGCTTGATTTAGCCATCCTACAACATATTACTATTTCACAGGTTGTATATGAGAAATGCATATAAATTTCTCAGCTAAAATTAATAGAAATAATAAAACAAATAAAATGCCTAATAAAAAGATATACTTTTCCTCTAGACACTTGATTATTTTAAAAGAAAAGCAAAACTCACCAAAATTTTAACTGGCTCCACAACTTTTCTAGTAATGACACCAGGGGCTCTTAAACGGATGGTTTCCAAAATACACCATTTAATTAAAAGAAGCTTCTCCAATTCATCCTCACAGATTTTAATCTTATCTTTACCTGTAAAAGTAATTACAAAAAAGATGGACCCATGAAACCAGACAATTATTTCATGTAAGCTCACCAACTTAGATTAAACACTGCTGCTAATAGTAGGTGTGCTGTAACTACGAAGGTACTTCAAAGATTTGTGGAAATGGAAAGAAAACAGAGGCCTATTTCTGTGAATTTTTTTTTGGAAATACGTGCAAATGAGGGACCTTTAGAAAAGTTCATAGGAAGCTGAAAAATGATGCATGCATTTCTAGGTACCTTCAATACTGCTGTAATAGTTTCCTTTATTTTCTGTAATGCAGTAAACACTTATTTAACTTTAGTTCTTTCAGTTGTATGGCTATCAAATGACTAAATTAGACATTGATAAGGTGTTCAATTTTTACTTATTATTTCTTTTCCAAATTCTCAGTCCACTAAGGAAAAGTAATAAAATATTGGCATCAAAAGCATAGAAAAACAGAAAAAGTTACTTGACTTTCTTTCTACCATTCCTTATTGGTTCACTTTTGTTTTTATTTTTAATCATTCATTTCAGATGGCCTTAAAACAACATTAAGAAAGGAACAATGGGGCAGGTGAACCTCAGTTGGAACAATAAGCACTCACTCTAAACATAGCCATATCAAGCTTTCCAGGGCACTAGGCATATTTTATCTAATATTTACATTAAAGTAACCTGACAAATGACTAAAAAGTCAATCTTTGTACTAGCTATCTAAGGTTAGAGCCTTTCAATCAAGGTAGCTTAATTCATGGTATTACAAGTAAAATGCCTGCATTTTGAAAATTCCGTAAAACTAACTCAGCCTTCCATTTGTTCCTGATACTACTTGCTTAATAAACTCAACACTGCAGACTCACTAAGTCAACTTGCTCTTCTCTTTCACCTTTATTTCCTATCACATAGGCTTATTCTGAGCTGGTTGTCATCACATGGGCAGGCTATCCATAGAGACAGAATGCCTCAGGAGTGAGTCAGAAGCAAATATCTTCCGTCAGAAGAGTCTGGGAACCAAAGATTTTGCCTCTAGATTCCACTGAACTCAAGCTCCTTAGGACCAAGCAGGGAAAACATCAGCACTGAGTCGGACTCTATCAATGCTACAACAAGGAAGGCACAGCCATAGCTTATTCTAATTGGAGGGTGAAGAACATTTACACAGGAAATTGGTGTATCATTCTGGCAAGACAGCTATTCTGTGAGATGTAAAGTATTTCATGGATTTCCAGATAGGGTTCATGTTCAAGTAGAGGAAAAGGAAAAGATTCTTTGCAATTGTCTCCAGGGTTGACCTTAATGAGTCTGTAATAAATTATCAAATGCTACAACTTCAACATAAGGAAATAAAAGGGTTGATATTCTAATCAAAAGGAGGCTGGCATTGTGGTGAGGTGAGTAAAGCCACTGCCTGGGATGTTGATATCCCACATGGGTGATGGTTTATGTACTGGCTGCTCTACTTCCAATCCAGGTCTCTGCCAAAGCCCTGGGAAAAACAGCAAAAAAAGGCTCATGTGCTTAGACCTCTGCTACCCACATCTGAGACATGGATAAAGCTCCTGGCTCCTGGCTTTGGCTCACTCCAGGGTTACACATTGTGGGGGCTACCTGGCAGGTAAACCAATGAATACAACGAATAGAAGCTTTATCTCTCTCTCTCTCCCCAACTCTTCTAATTTTCCAAAATAAATAAATACACACTAAATCTTAAGAAAAAAGTAATTCCACTCAACAGAAGGAGTAGGGACAAAGGAACAGATTCAGCCTGACCACTGTAGGCACTAGGATAGTAAGTAGAAAGGTGGAACTTCTCTCTTTTTGCCTCTCCAAAAAGCAAAAGAAATCTAAGATAAATTCTGAATTCACTCCAAATTTAACAAAGCTTATAAGTCTCAACAAGAAATATTAAGAAAACAGAAGTAGTTAAGTTCTAGTTTTATTTCTGCATTTTCATAATACTTATTTAAAGAGACAGCATTAAGGCCCGGTGGCATGGCCTAGTAGCTCAAGCCCTCGCCTTGCACGCCTGGGATCCCATATGGACATCAGTTCTAATCCCGGCAGCTCACTTCCCATCCAGCTCCCTGCTTGTGGCCTGGGAAAGCAGTCGAAGATGGCCCAAAGCCTTGGCACCCTGCACCAGTGTGGGAGATCTGGAAGAAGTTCCCAGATCCTGGCTTCGGACTGGCATAGCATCGGCCATTGTGGTCACTTGGGGAGTGAATCATCGGACAGAAGATCTTTCTCTCTGTCTCTCCTCCTCTCTGCATATGAATATCTGACTTTCCAGTAAAAATAAAATAAATCTTTAAAAAATATATATATATAAAGAGCACGAAAGATATTGAATAGATTTGTTCTTTTATGTATATTTAATTTATAAAAATTAATTTTACCACCTTTGTTTAAAAAAAAAGAAAATTAAATTAAAAAGAAAACCTGCATTCTCAGAAAGTAGCAACAGCTATTGTCTACCCAGAAAGTGGGCTGCATGTGCTGGAACAAAAAGAGATTTAGGAAGGCCTTACATAAATGGTCTTGTCCATGCCATTCTGGAAAACTTGGACATCAGAGAATTGGGAGATTGCCTAGCTTCGTCTGAGGAAGACTGAACACTTCAACAATGAAACAGCGATATACAGTGCTTGTACTATTCTTTATTAAATTAAGATGTTCTGCCTATTTTCCCAGAACTCAATGACCTAATGTTAAAAGGAGACAAGTATTTTTTTAAGGTCTGCTTTTGTTTTAACCTTCCACAGAGGCTGCCACACAAATCCTTTTCTTGCTGTTTTTAGAATGCAGAGAGAAAAAGAGGGATGGGGTAAGGAGGGAGGGAAGGAAACCAGTGACAAATACCAAGCAAGTATATTAGAAGACGAAGCCTGATGGCAGATACCCTGAATGTCCATGGTGAGACGGAGTGAGAGAAAACCAGTGGTGCTGGAGTGTGGAATGAGGAACATGAGGTGGGAGACTTCTGGAGAGACAGAGCTCAGGTACAAGGCAGATGAGCAACAAGAGCACATGTCCAAGAAAATGTCTCTAGTAGTTAAAGGGAAAACATGACTTTTAATTTTAATGTTTGTTTGTTTTTTATTTATACTAATTTTAAAGACACAATGGGAGGGAGGGAGAAAGACAGAGATGTTCCATCTATTGTCTTATCTCCCAAATATCTGCAACAGCCAGGACTGGGCCAGGCCCAAACTAGGAAGTCCACCTGAGTCTCCCACCTGGCTGGCAGGAGCACAAACTGTTGGACCATCATCTGCTGCCTTGCCAGATACATTAACATAGGGCTGGATTTGAAGTAAAGGAAGTGGGGCTCAAACTGATGTGGAATGCAGTTGTCCTAGGCGGTGGCTTAACCCATTGTGTCACAACACCCACACCAGACTTACAATTTTAAGTTGGTTCTTGTTGCAATGCGATTTTTTCCTTTCCTTGCCCTATGTCTTTAAAAATACTTTAATGAAGTAAACCAACAGCTAACTTTAACACTTGGAGAAGATTGAAATGATGTCCAATGAGGCAGCACCATGCAGAAAAAGACTGAAATGATACTCAATGAGGCAGTACCATGTAGAAAAAGGGAAAGCAAAACAGAGTGAAACTGAGAAATGAGTAAATGTAAGAACCAGAAGTCAGAAGAAGGCATCGAGACAAAGAGACAAAAAGCCTCAACCTCTTGCTGCCTCTCCCATTTCTAACCTGTAAAGATTCTGACACATCTGAGGTAGTACTCAGACCAATTTTACTATTACCTTGAAAACCAGGGTTCCTCCAGAGGATATTATAAATAAGCTTTAGCAGTAAGGTACAGTTCAAATTTTAAATAATACTTTTTTTAAGATTTATTTTATTTTTTATTGGAAAGGCAGATATACAGAGAGGAGAGACAGAGAGGAAGATCTTCCGTCCGATGATTCACTCCCCAAGTGAGCGCAACGGGCCGACACTATGCCGATCCGAAGCCAGGAGCCTCTTCAGGGTCTCCCACATGGGTGCAGGGTCCCAAAGCTTTGGGCTGTCCTCGACTGCCTTCTCGGGCCACAGGCTGGGAGCTGGAAGGGAAGTGGGGCTGCTGGGATTAGAACCGGCACCAATATGGGATCCCGGGCGTGCAAGGAGAGGACCTTAACCACTTGCGCCACCGTGCCGGGCCCAAATCATACTTTTAAACTATTGTTTTCCCTAGAATATCTACACTGGACAAGTTGACCAACCTTTCAGAGTCAATCTTTCTCTCTCTCCCATCTTGCTCTGTCTCCTTCACTCTCATTTACTACAGAAATAGGCCACAGGAAAAAATAAGCTTTACTATTTGACTGAACAGTGAGGACTTGTGTTGGAAGTCAGAATAAAGAGATTCCAGGCCGACTCGTGTATTAGGAGACATGCCATATTCTTGCTCTGAAGTTTAGATTATAGTAATGGTAAAGTGCCTGATCTTTTTAGAAAGCAAAAGGTTTCATATTAAGAATTATTATTAGACTAACAACATTATAAAGTAAAGAAGTTTGGTATGACATATATAAAAGTTATATTGAATTGGAAATACTTAAAAATTTGAGCTGATGTTACAGCTCAAAAAGCTAATTGTCCACCTTAAGTGTCAGCATTCCATATGTGTGCTGGTTTATTTCCCCGCTGCTCCACTTCCTGGGAAAGCAGTGAAGGATGGTCCAAGGCCTTGGGTCCCTCTACTGACATGGGAGACCAAAAGAAGCTCCTGTTTCCTGGCTCCAGATTAGCTCATCTCTGACCATTGTGGCCATTTGTGGAGTGAACCAGTGGATGAAAGATCTTTGTCTCTCCTTCTCTCTGTAATTCTTTCGAATAAAAATAAAACTTTAAAAACATGACTTCTAAATATACATGAAGCATAAAGTACATTGGGGAAAATAAAATAGCATTCTTGGGATAGACAAAAAAATAGACTAGCAAATACACTAAGTTTTAAAACATCTTTAGGATAAAAGATCTTTATTATTATTAT